TCTATCTACATTCTTCAAAGATGATAATTCTCTTTTCAAAGATAAAGATCTCTTTTTAAAGATGATGATTCTCTTTTCAAAGATGAAATATTTATGGGATTTATACACAAGTCCAAACAAATAAAGTTGGTTTTATCCAAGATAAAATGGGACATCAGGGTCATAGCTCTGACTACGGCAAGTTTTCACAAATGAACATTTCTTCTGAGACTTTCATGAAACAAAGAAGACACCAAGGTACAAGTTGATCAGATGATTCTACAAAAATGCAAGCTGGATAACATAAGTTTTCTACACTGATACCCAGAGGTAACCCTGGCAATAAATGATGAATGAAGGAAGACCAAGTTCACCACTTTGAAGTCAAATGAGATTGCATCAACATTCATACATTCATAAAATATCATTTACACAATAGACAATGCATTACATTGATACATCTGAGTGCATTCAAACATGAAGTTTACAGATCTTCGGAAGAACAAGAAGATTCAGGGTAAAAAATACCTTACACGAAGAATTATTCAAAACCACAAATACAGGAATCATGCAAACATAAGAAGATGGATGCAATCCACAAAATGAGCATTATTGTGAGATTGGGGCTGTTACCCAATCAACATGTTTTTTGAAAAATAATGAGAAAATGATTTCCATAGTTTTCTCATTCAATCTTTTCTAAAAAATGAAATTGTTGAAAAGTAAAAGCGATTTCCTTAGTTTTTTTTTTACTTAGTAAACTATTTCCCCACTCTGTAAGTCCTGCAGTGCATGATGTTTCCAAAAGCCTTCGGGAGTTTTTTTGATGTTTTCAAAACCTTAGGGTCATCTGTAAGTCCTTCAGTGCATGATGTTTCCAAAAAGCCTTCGGGAGCTTTTTGATGTTTTCAAAGCCTTCGGTCATCTGTAAGCCCTTCAGTGCATGATGTTTCCAAAAAGCCTTCGGGATCTTTTTGATGTTTTAAAGCCTTAGGGTCATCTGTAGTCCTTCAGTGCATGATGTTTCCAAAAAGCCTTCGGGAGCTTTTTGATGTTTTCAAAGCCTTCGGTAATCTGTAAGCCCTTCATGCATGATGTTTCCAAAAAGCCTTCGGATCTTTTGATGTTTCAAAGCCTTCGGGTCATCTGTAAGCCCTTCAGTGCATGATGTTTCCAAAAAGCCTTCGGGATCTTTTTTATGTTTAAAGCCTTAGGTCATCTGTAAGTCCTTCAGTGCATGATGTTCCAAAAAGCCTCGGGAGCTTTTTGATGTTTTCAAAGCCTTCGGGTCATCTGTAAGCCCTTCAGTGCATGATGTTTCCAAAAAGCCTTCGGGAGCTTTTTGATGTTTTAAAGCCTTAGGGTCATCTGTAAGTCCGCAGTGCATGATGTTTCCAAAAAAAGCCTTCTGGAGCTTTTTGATTTTTCAAGTCTTCGGTCATCTGTAAGTCCTGCAGTGCATGATGTTCCAAAAAAGCCTTCGGGAGCTTTTGATGTTTTCAAAACCTTTCAATACATGATGTTTTTAAGACCTCTGGAATGATGCTTTCAACATTTTAGTCTTACTCAAAAAAAGTCAAATGAAAATTATTTGTTTTTTTGTCTTTGCTTTATTCGTGTTAACACAAGAATGAGCAAAGAGGGGCAGCTGTAAACACTATTTTTCATTTTACTTAAATTATTATTATTAAATTATTATTATTATTATTATAATATTATTATATATTATTATTAAATATATTATTACAAGGCCCAAAATTGGGGCCCAATTACAATTACAATCGCCCAATAGAACTCAAACCCTTAGGTTTGTAACATTCAGCTAGGGTTTTCTAACCCTAGCCCCGTGCGCAGCCGCCTCAAGGGTTTTCCAGCCGCCTCTGAAGCCATTCCAGCTGCCACACCTCTCCAAGCTTCCAGAAGACCACACGGCGCTGCTTCAGCTTCCAGCCGCCCCACGTCGACACTGTTGTTGCCACGACACCAGCCTCGCCGAAGTCCCAGAATGCCACGAAGCCCTCCACATGTTGAGCTCTATGGTGTCACCACCATAGTTATGGTGACTCACCGAACTCTTCTCTTTACTCGGTCGAAGAGGACACCGGTGGCTATAAAGCCTCACCAAATCTGCGAAAGAAAAAAAAACCCGACGACAACAAACGGAACAACAAACAGAAAAAAAGAGATACAGAGAAAGAGCTACACCAACGATCCCAGAAAACAAACCGAGAAGAAAAAAAAGAGACTTACCGAGGAAATCGCTGCCGTGAGAGCCTCCACGAGTCATCGAGAACCGAAACACCGAAGGTGAAATCGTAGATTTACGATATATTATGGATTTTAGGTTAAAATAACCTTAGATCGGCATTAGGACGTTTAGATCTACGCTTTGGGGGTATTTTGTAAATTCCGGCCACCGTTCACGGTGATCGGCGGCGGTGGCCGGCGGCGGAGTACGGTGGCCTATGGCTGCCGGTTTCCCTCCGCGAGGGAAACTAGAGAGAAACCAGAGAAACTCTGGTTATCTCATTTGGAGAGAAAGGAAAGAGGCAAATGAGGAAGCTTGGCCCTTCGGCCAGGCGTTTAGGGTATTTAAAACCCTCCCCAAACGACGTCATTTTGGGGAGGTATCTGTGTAATTTAAGAAAGGGTAAACCCTTTCTGCAACCCTTATAGGTCTGTAACTTTGCAATTTAGTCACTGAAATTGACTTTTAATCATTTTAATTTAGTGTTTAAATTTTATTTTATTATATTTTAGCCATTAACCGTATTAATAATATATTAGGATAAATGTCATATTTAGTCCTTTAATTTTAATAATTAATATTTAATCTGAATAGTATGTTTTAATTTATTTTAATCTGATTTGAATTTTATAATTTTATTTTAGTCACTAAATTAATAAATAAGGAAATAGCATGTTTAATCCCTATAATTTTGATTAATTATGAATTAGGTATTTAATTTTAATTTTACTATAATTTAATCACTAATTTTAAATATTTTCATTTATTTTACTGCTTTTAAATATATAGTTCTAATTGTATTTTTATTGTTTTAATTTTACTTGTTTATATATTAAATATTTTTATTATTATGTAGTCATAAATATATATATAATAATAATAATTTATTTTTCAATAAATAATTTTAATATTTATTTTTCAATATCAAAGAAAAGGGCAGTCTTAATACAACTGGATGTCCTATTCTGGTATTTTAAAATAAATGCTATAAAAAATTATTATTTTATTTTATCTAAATTAATATTTATTATATCAAAGAAAAGAACTGTCTAAGGCACCTAGAAGTCCTTTTCTGATATTTTTAAATAAATAAATATTTTTTATATAATTTTGAAATAATAGATTATAAATTAATATATTTTGAATTTTTAAATTTTTAATGATAGAGACAATTTATAATTAAAAAAGTACCATTTGGGCGTTGTAGGGGTGCTAATCCTTCCCTAAACGTAACCGACCACGAATCCCTTTTTATTATTAAAAGGAACGAATTTTTGGTTATAAACGCAGATCAGATCATTTTTTAATTGATGTTTTCTTAAAACTCTTTTAAAAAATAATTTTTAGGTATTCGACTACCTGACCCAAAAGGCCGATGGCGACTCTCAAATTATTTTCAAAACCATTTATTCACATCACTTTTCCCGTCAAGTAAATATTTCGTGCCCGGACGAAAACCGGTTACGACAAGGAGCTTAGAAGAAATTCTGCACGGTACAACACTACGGCTTCAACTATATCTGTTTTTTTTCCTTTGCTTGATAAATGTTGTTGTAACCACTGATCCAATCTAACATATATTGTAGGGAACAACAATGGAAAACATGCCCTGTCATGGGAACAAAGATATAACGTTGCTGTTGGGATTGCCGAAGGCCCAAACTACATACATAATGAGCTCTCTCGACCTGTTATTCATAGAGATGTCAAGTCTTCAAATATTCTTCTTTCAGATGGGTTCGAACCAAAGGTAATTTAAATGATACGTTATTCTAAAATGAAATACGTCGCAAGTCGATCACATGGTCATCGTTTTTTTTTCCGGGTGCGACAGTTATCTGACTTCGGGTTAGCAATATGGGGACCAACTGATTCATCATTCCTACTTCAAGCAGATGTTGTTGGAACATTCGGGTATTTAGCTCCTGAATATTTTATGTACGGTAAACTTAGTGACAAGATCGACGTCTATGCTTTCGGCGTTTTTATACTCGAATTGCTATCGGGAAAAGACCTTTAAGCTTTGAGAATCTGAAAGGTTGGCAAAGCTTGGTCATGTGGGTAAGAGTCTTCTCTAAAATGAAGTAATCCTTTCACATCTGCATCAATGATCACATATAATTTATCAAGTACTTGAAAAACTGGAGGCAAAGCCATAATAGAGAGTGGAGATGTGAAAGGCATAATGGATCCAAATCTGAATGGAAATATCGACGAGACTCAAATGCATCGGACGGTTCGAGCTGTGTAGACACTAATTTTCGTCGACATATTTTTCCTTTATATGTACATACATATTTATATATATACATATTTTAAAACTACGTATATAATATATAGTTTTTAAAACTATATAATGTATAGTTTTTAAAAAAAACATTTTAAAATATATATATAATGTATAATTTTTAAAATCATTTTGAAAACTTATATATATATAATTTTTGAAAACATTTTTGAAAGCACAAATATTATAGTTTTGAAAATATTTTTGAAAACATTTATATATTATATAGTTTTTAAAACGTTTCTGAAAACTTATATAATATTTTGAAAACATGTTTGAAAACATTTATATATTATATAGTTTTTAAAACATTTTGAAAATAAATATAATATATAGTTTTAAAACATTTTTGAAAACATATATTATATAGTTTTTGAAAATATATAAGAAATTTATATATTATATATGTTTTTGAAAATATTTTTATTTTTATTTTTATTATTTATTATTATTATTATTATTATTTTATGTTATTTTATTCCTTATTTTTATGTTTTGTTTGTTGTTCAGGATCCAGGGTCCAAAAATCCAATGTGCAGGTCCAACAGTAGGGCCTGACCCCCAGGAACACAGTCCAAAGATTAGGGTTTCCACGTTAAGTCCAGCCGCATCAGATCCTGGACCGTTGGATCTGACCCAATCCAACGGTCAAGATCAAGGGTTACAGAGGATCGAAAGTCACTGGTCGGCCGAGTATTTCGACGATGTGCAACACCAAAACCGGAACTACTCGGACTGAACCATCCGAGATCACCGAGAACGACCCCGGAATATCCGGGATCGACCCCAAAACAGTCAGAAACAGACCCCCATCGGGGCCTATAAATACAACGGAGAGAACCCCCGAGAACTTGGCCAAAACATCGAAAGCCATAGCCACAGTAAACCAAGAACGAACCAAGAGAAACACAATACCCACGACGAACATCACAACACCATCAACACAACAACATCGACCAACAGTAAGACCGAGGACATCACCAACAAAGTAAACAGAACCCACAGTAAAACAAGGAGCCAGCGTCACCGAAACACAACCATCAACCATATACAGTAAACAAAACCGAGAGACTACAAAAGCATCGAACCACACACACAAAAACACCAACAACCAAACGCTACGATAAAACCAAGAGAACAAGCAAAACAACGAAACACAAAGACCAAACGCCGAAGAAACCACCGGGAAAGTGAAAGGCCATCAAAGGTAACATTTTCTGGGTAAGAGGTCGTAAGGTTTTTTGTGTATGGTTGGTGTCTGCGTCTGAAAGGAGAGAAGAGGAAGAGGAGAGAACGGCCAGATTAGGAAATAAGGGAGAGTGATAGCCAAAAGCGCATATAAGGGGTATATAAACCCCCCAAAACGACGCCGTTTAGGTGAGTCTAGGGCATCTCTCGGGTCAACGCATGGGTAAACCGTGTTCTAGGTCCCTGTAAGTTGTACCATTTGTATTTTGGTCACTAGAATAATTTTCAACAGCTTCGATTGGGATTTCTAATTTTATTTGTTTGTATTTTAGTCATTATTCCGAATTTAGGCTTAATTATTGTTTGGTCCTCCTAACTCTTTACTCTTCGTTTTTGCAGCCTTCATTTTTATTTTAATTTAATCCCTTAATTTTGTTTTGTTTCGATTTAACCCTATAAATTTTTATTTGATTTTATTTTAATTGTAATTATTATTTTTTATTATTTAACATTTTTTATTAGTATTTTTTCTCTCATTTCCCTTAAATTTATTTTATTATTTTTTTTTGTTTTTATTTATTTAATATTTTTCCTCTTTATTCATTTTTTTTTCTTCATTCTCATTTTTTCCTCCTTTGATTTATTATTTTAGTTAATTTTATTATTATTCTTTTATTCATTTTTTAACATATCTATCTCTTTAAGGATCTTCGTTTCATCCGATCAAAGGTAAGTACTTCGAATCGGGTAATTTAAATTTTAATTTAAATTTTTCAATTTTCGCAAAAAGACAACGGCAAATTAATTGGTACCGAAAGGGTAGTTCAAGGGTGCTAATCCTTCCTTGGCCGTAACCGACTCCCGAACCCGACATATTTTTGGTACAACGTAGATCAGGTAAGATGGTGTCCGATCTACCTAAATTCGTTTTAAAATGATCGGTGGCGACTCCTAACCATTTATTCAAGTCGAAGCCCAATTCCGGGGCCCAACCGAAAGACGGCTACGACAGCTTGGCGACTCCGCTGGGGACAGGTAAGTGAGTCAGGCCGAAATTAATTTTCGGTTGTCTTTTATGCGAAAACGGTAAATTTAAATTTTAATTTATTTATTCGATTCCAATTATTTATCTTTGATTATTTTCAAATAAATAGTTGTACTAACATTTTTTAATGATTTCAGATTTTTCAAAGTTTTCATCTCATGCTCTATACCCGAGCTCCAAACCCTATTTAAGTGGGGGTGAAAGCGACGCCTTCGTGTGAATTTATTCACCGTGCGGGCCTAGCAAGTAGCCTTCGGGATTCATATACCTTATGTCTTCGTGTGGATTTATTCACCGTGCGGGCATAAGGGAATGTGTCCTCTCGAGTTTAACTTAGTCCACACAAGCCAGTGATGGGTTTAGGACTAAAGGTCTGGTAAGCCTAAGGAGGCACCGGCAATGAGAACTCGGGTACCGTTTTTTAGAACCTAACTCGGGAGACTACAAGAAGTTAGAGCCCACCTCAAAACCTCATTCCAAACCCTAGGCTGTTTTATTTCCTACTTTATTTTCTGTTCAAAGCATGCGAACTAGAAAAACATGTGGTTAGGTTTTGTTTGAAATTAGCATGCGGGATAGAGATCATGTCCGGGTAGGAATAATAAGCATGTGGGGTAGATATCATGTGGGGTAGCATTTTTCATTTTTATTATTGTTTTGATTTACCTCACTAACCCTTTTATTTTTTGTTCTCTTTTATTTTGTGTTCATTGTTTGCATCATTTAAAACGATGTGTTGATCCACCAAAAATGTGTTTGTTAAACATGAATAATCTGCATTAATGGACAAATGGGTTATAATACAAAGAGATAAAAAAAACTCAGAAGTCCAACCGTGGTCAAAGAATACTCAAAGGCAAAGTTGCAGGGGCAATACGAGGAAAAGGTCACTGACCCGGTCGCTCCTTTCGAAAACTACAAGAACAAGATGGTGAAACACTAGCTGAGTTGGATGCCATTACTGACGAATTCAAGAAGCAAGCTTCGGATAGTTTCTCTCGATAGAGGGCTCCAATGACACTTTCGTTAGAAACAAGCTCGGTAGAAAGTGAAAGTCGGAGATGCAGTCCTTCGAGATCTTTTTTTTTTGGGGCAAGCATCTCATTATTTGCACATTTTAGCCAAAGGAGCCGGAATGGTTCGACAGGATATTCAACTAGTGAAAAAGACGAATCAACTTGTCAGAAGCTGTACAGGATTTGTACCATCAAAAAGAGTTTTTTGTCTCTTCAGACGTAACACTTTTGTCACCAATAAGGGTTATTCAGAATAACAGGCACATTTTTTGGATCAATGCCTCGGACATTTCATGCATCATATATTTAGACATTTGCATTTCTTGTTTTCTTTGCATTTTGTTATTTTCTTTGCATTCACATTAACTAATATAAACATGTCTCATCAAGGGGAACAAATACTGGATACACCGCCTCAAGCATTGGACACACCCCATCCACATAACACTCGTTTGAAGAAGAAGAGGATGGAAGCCAGAATTACACAAATCGATGAGAATATGTTAAAACTACAGAAGGAGCTAGAAGACAAGATAAACCAGAACAGTCGAAATACTCTGGAAACAATCACAAAGAACCAAGAGTCCTTGGTTGATCAGATCGTTGCCAAGTTAGTTGGCCTACAACAGACCAGTGCGCCCGGGGCAGGTTCACCGGAAGGGGTAACTATACAACCTACCCCGCAAGTGGTTATCTCACCTGAAATCCTACCAGAACTTCGAGGGGACTCATCTGCTGTAAAAGCAAAGCCCTCGTCCTCTGTATTTAACCCTAAGAACAATCCGAGTTATTACCATGTACCGGATTTGGACGAAGAGGAAAAAGCGAGGAAGATGGAGGAAAAAATCAAACAATTGGAGGACCAAATGAATATAGTCAAAGGAGACCGTGACTACCATGAAATCGATGCAACGGAACTTAGTCTAGTCCCGGACTTGGTTCTTCCCCCGAAATTTAAGTCCCCGGAGTTCGAGAAGTTTGACGGGAATAGTTTCCCATCCGCTCACGTCACCATGTTCTGCCGAAAGATGACAGGATATGGAGGAAACGACCAACTCCTGATCCACTGCTTTCAGGATAGTCTGTCGGGCTCAGCCATTCGGTGGTACAACCAGCTAAGCCGATCAAATATCAAGACGTGGAAGGACCTGGCCAAGTCATTTCTGGAACAATACAAGCATAACAATGACATAAGGCCAGATCGAGTTATGCTACAAAACATGGAAAAGAAGCATAACGAGAGTTTCAGACAGTACGCACAAAAATGGAGGGACTTGGCTGTGCAAGTTCATCCACCGTTAGATGAAAAGGAAACCCGGAAACTTTTCGTGCAGACTCTGAAGGCTCCATACTTCGGGCATCTGGTGGCGATCACATCAGGAAGCTTTTCAGACTTGGTTATGGCCGGAGAAATGATTGAGTCGGCCATAAAGCAAGGCAAGATTAAGGATGGGGAAGCCAGTAAGAAGCCTCCTATGAGGGAG